TGAGAACTATTCATTTATATATGTGTTGATAATTAATATTCTATTGATTGTTAACTTTTTTCCCAATGACATCACCAATAAAATAAAAAGTTATAAATAATACTTGGAGGGACTTTCTGAAATTTTTTGTGACAGTCACAAATTTTCATTTGACTTTACCAATGGAGTGAAAAGCCATCTATAATTTTATAGGTAAAAAGTAAATTAAAAGACTTCATCTTCTTCTCTTTTCTCCTCTCACAACACCATTTCTCTCTTTTTTTTTTCTCTTCTCTCCCACCTTCTCAGTCTAAATCAAGCATTCTCTTCTCCTTTTATTCTCAAGCATGATGTCTTTCTTCATTTTTCTTCTTATTATTCTTTTTTTTTTGGTTTATTAACAATATCTTTTCTTTATTTTTTTAATTATCAGTTGAAATTTAGCATGCAATTAAGGTAAGTATTTTTAATTCATTTTTCTTCTTTTGTGTTTTTTTTGCATTATTTTTTTGCCATTTTTTTTGTTCTTAAAAAGTTTATAAATTAATAAATATGTTGAACTTTAGTTGTTATTGAAATAAATTTTGTATTATTTTGTTCAATTTTAGTTATTTTTTTTTAATTTTATTGTTCAATTTCAATTAAAATATATAGGATTAATTTTAATTATTATTTTGTATATATTTTAGTCAGAATAAATTTTTTGTAAATTTAGGATTAAAATTATTATCACCTAGAAATAATTGTGCTGAATTTTAGTTCTTATTGTAATAATTGTGCATTATATTTTTGGATTTTTTGTTTTTTTTGTTTTTGTTTTCAATTCCAATTAAATGTGTAGGATTAATTATTAATTATTAATTTTTTTATATTTAGAATAGTTTTTTTTTTTGTAAATTTATGACTAAAAATATCATCATATAGAAAATAAAAAGTTTCTATGAAATTAAATTATGCCACATTGTTAGAAGAAATTAAATAAAATCAATTGGTTTATGACATATATCTTGTGTAGTTACATGTTTAGAAATCTTGAGTAGTCTCTAGTATAGGAAAGATGCTGCTGAATTATTTTTTTAAATAGGAATTATCTAATTTTATTTATCCATTAATTTATATAAATGCTTAGAGAAAAATCTATTTCATGTCACTAGGACTACGAGTCATTAGGTGTCTAGCAAGAACAAACACTTGAGGCACATGCATTGACTTAAGATGTGGATTCATCGAGTGCAATGTAACAACATTGAGGTGGGGTCCCTCTACAACATGATCCATTTATTTGCAAGTACAAGGCCTAGTGGAAGGACGACCTTTCAATGTAAGTTTGTTTAGCTTTCACAATGACATGTTTAATCATTTTTTTCTAAAATAATTTCATTTAACAAATGCAATTTTAGGTTTACAAACATTGAGGTTGTGAGAATAATAACATTGGCCTTTAAATCATTGATGAAAATTCTATTGTTTCAATGAAGCTAGTGACACGACTAAAAGATTGATGTCTTTTCCCAAGTGCAGGAGTGTCGAAGTAATAAATAACCCGACAAGACCGGGGTCAAACCACAGGGAGGTTAATT